TTTCAGGGAAACACGGTAGATACCAAAAGCCATCACAAACCCACAGTAGTCACCGGGCACTCAGTGATCAGTTGGCTCAACTGAATTGCCCTTGAACCCACTAGGGAGCATGGTTCTCCTCTGATACACAGAGAGTTGCCATATGTCAGACTGACTAAACAGCATCTGGTTTACGATTCTAAGAACAAGGAAACTCCCTCTTACTCGAATGCTGCCTCCCTTTGCAAACAACAGCAAGGTCATTCTGTCTCCCAATGGAAATGAGCGTGGGACACTTTGCAGGCAAAGACTGTAATACTTTCTGGGGTGTGGTGTTGGAGGTAATTGAGCCAAGAAGAAGGAGAAGGGGCTTTCGAGTATTAGACTGGACCCTTCTCTCCTACCTCTTAATGTTTCTGAGACTTTGTAATAAAATTATTAGGCAACCTATTCAAACTCTCTGAGTCTCAGGTTTAGCATCTGTACAACGGGGAACTAATGCACACATGGAATTGTCTTGAGGCCTGAAGGAGAATGGGGGTGGAGACTGAAAACGTTCATGGAAAAATTCCCTTCTCTTATCATTCCAGTTTCCCACAAACTTTTTGAAGCTCCCTCATAGAAGCCATTTAGAAAGTCACGTGGCACAAAATGGGCCATCCAAAACATTATGTGTCATGATCTTGTTCTTATAGACGCTTATCCTCATATGAGACATTTAACTGGAAACTCATCTATCCAGACATATACATTTTCAAGGGCTGCATTTGGGTAAACTCTCTTCAAGAGGGAAGATTCCATTTAGAAATACCGATGTGCATGGTTTAGCATCTGTGATAAGTTCTGTGAAACAGAATGTTACTCGGTTTAGATGTTGTATGAGCCTCGTATTGTTACAGTCCCTGTGCATCTGTGAAGCCTATTGTATTAAAACCGTAGGTGAGCCCTCCAGACAAAGCCCAAGAACTGTATTCCCGATAGAGCTGTACTCCCGATACCGGATACTAGCCTTGGGATCGCCAGTGCCCCCATATCTGGGGCACTGCCCTGAGAGCATGAAAGGCTGGCTGCCCAGTCAGGGGGCAAGTCAACCAAACCAAGAAGAGGAGGCACTGAGGGGATTGGGGCCCATCCCGGAGCTCAGGGTCTTCGAAGCCATTAGGGGAAAGATCATGAATGAAGAGCTCCTTTCTCTTTAAGCTACCACCAAAACCTATGGTGCCTATTCCAAACCAAACGCGGCTCACTGCACAATCCATTCTGACCTACAGCGACCCTCCAGGACAGGCTAGACCTGTCCCTTTGGGCTTCTGCTGCTGTAAATCTTTACAGGCGTGGAAAGCCTCATTTTTCTCCCTTCAAATGCCCAGTGGCTTCAAATTGTTGGCCGTATGATTCGCAGCCAAACCCATAACGTCCTGGGCTTCCAAGGTTCTTGATGGTACATCTATGCAGTACATTTGTGGTATTACATATATGCCGTGGCACACTCCTCGAACAGATGTTAGGCAGCATATGTGTACCGTCCTCCAGAGGAGATCATTTAAAGTTTCGCGTCCTCTCCCCAAGTGTCCGTGTTTTTTCCCATCCTTGATCCACTTCTTCTGGACATCTTTTCAGCCATTTTTCTTACTGACACTTCTTCACGTCATTTTCACATCATGCGACTTTTAAATTGAAACCAGCCCTGGCTCCTTCCTGTTGGTAAATCAGCTTCACAGGCTCTCACCTTGGCCAGGTACATTATTCAGCCAGGTTGGAGTCTGTCATAAAAGGGGCTGGATGGAAGGAAACCTTGCTTCCCATGACCCACACTCAGCAATTTATACACCACTGATCGCATCAGATTTCCCGCCGAGGCAATCTGATCATCATGTGGGTGAGCTTTTTCTCTCATGCAAGGCTGTTCTTTGAAACAGTCACCTCTCATTTTCTACGTATGTTCGCTCGCTTTCCTCACTACATCCTTTTTTTTATCTCATAAGGTACGATGAAGAGAAATCTTTTAAGAGAGCTGTGAGGTAATCTCGCCTGATCTTCAATTCACCTGGACCCCTGTGTGTGTGTGTACCCAGTGTTTCACTCGTGGGTGACCTCAACACGCTCCCAGTCGGCGGCCCCGTGTCAGTCTCTGTTGGCCACCCTAGCCTTTGTCTTGTCGAAAGCGGTTGAGGTCAACCTGATTTGCAACTGAACCCTCCTGAACCTGACCCATTCCTGATTTGGCCGGGCTGCAAGCTAATTTTAGTTGTCCCCAACCGAGGGGTGTGGAGGTTCTCAGCTTTACTTGGCATGTTTCTGCGACTTTTGTAGCTTTCTAATGAAGGAATGTATGAGCTAACCAGTAGACAAACTCTGAATGGGAGTAAATGGCCCCAGATCTCATCAAGGCGTGACCCCATGGCTGCGGAGGGTGGGTTCTCCACGCATACTACACTTCCAGCTGGTTTGGCTTTGCTTTGCTGGGGACTCTCACACGCTGCTTGCTTTGTTTCTTTTCTATGACGCTAATGTTTGCTTGTGCAGACTGGACGAAGAACTGAGGGAGGCCTCCGAAGCAGCTAAGTACGACAGTTTTTATTAGCCGCTGGCATGACGGTAGCTTGCATTTCCAGAAGGAACTGGCAGAAACTGCATGTCTGGTGTTGTGTCTCTGTCTCCTGCTGATGAAGCCGCACTGTCAAAATTCCCTTTCTCTCCGATGGATGCAACTTGTGTTAATATAGATATATATAATTGTGTTTTCTGTGAAAGCGTATGCAGCGAATTGGATGCCCGTGTAACAATCTCGACCCATTCGTTGTGTGAAGCTGGTTTGGTGTTTCCCAGTGTGTCCACATTCCCGCGAATTCCCTGCTGGTGGTTTCATCGTTATTCTCACTTGATCTATTTCTTCTCTGAGGTCTTGGTGCTTCCGAGGAACGCATTTGTTGCTCTTGCTTCCTTTTGTTGAAGTAAGATTTTAGGCCCCCACGGAAGAACACCTAAGGTATGGCATGGAGATGATCATTCAGCTTAGTGAGGCTTCAAACGATATAAATGTGTTCTCATGGGGAGAAATGAGGGCTCGTTGCAATTTGCAATGTGTTTGCAGAATCAATTCCATGGCTTTACAAGATGAAAAAAATGTCCTTACTTAATGGTTTGGCAATATTATTTAACTATCATCCTCCGAGCTATTTAATAAATAGAAAAAATATTATTCACTATGACTAAAGCATCATCTTCTAAAAGGCAAAATCATAACTCTCAATGAAAGTATAAAATGAGTGCATGTTAATATTCTAATGCAACTCATAATTGAGTGAGAAATCAGTAAACCACTAAAACTAGTTCAGAAAGCAAATTAAAATAGAGCTATCATAAAATTCTTAGATTAGACCCAAAGCAGGGCAATAAACTGTAGTTACCTTGTAGGTACCTTTCCCACTGCAGAGAAATGATTTGCATCTCTACTGGACAAAAAGTGAAGGTTGGCCGCTATTGCTACAGAGCTGTAAAATTGCATTAGGGAATCAGCCCAGCATTGTTCTGAAAGAACACCCAACAGTTTCTTATCCCTAAATGTCTGACATGCTATCTTAAATGTAGATAAGGGCCGTTTGGAAAGATTGCTGTATGAAGTAGTTACACTTCCTTCCCATTTTACATATTGCATACACTGTTACTTCTTATAAGCAGCTTCCATTTCATAGATATTATATAAGCAGAATGTCTGGACAATGTCCAAACAGCTACAAATTCCAAATAAATAGCATAGAAATTATTGAGATTATTCTGCATAGCTAGAAATGCCAAATCTTCCATTGAAACAATTCATTTAAGTCATTTTCCCCCACTGCACATTTTTTATGGAGGTAGCCTGTGAAGTTACTTGCCTGTCATGTAGATATTGTGAATTAAAAATGAAAGACTTTTGCTTTAGAAAGTTTAACATCAGCATAATCCATTGTTATACTATTCCTGTCTTTTACTTTCTTTCAAGATAACTAGCAACCATTTAGATTAATGTAGCTCAATATTTGAACTATATGGTGTTGGCGAAGATTATTGGAAGTACCATGGACTGCCCAGAGAGCAAACGGTTCTCATATCTACAAATATGCTGCATACATTTGGTGCGTGGATTGTTACAAGAGCTGTAAGAGCCCCCCATAAAATGATTCATTAAGATAAATAAAGGAAGAAAGGACAAACAGTTCTGTCTCGGTGGTGCAACAGCCAGAATGCCCCGAGAGGCATGTCCGTTGGACATGTTGTCAAGAGAGGCCAGTCCCTGGAGAAGGACACCAAGCTTGGTGAAGTGAGGGGTGGTCAGAAAGAGGAAGACCCCAACGGATGGACTGGCACAGTGGCCACGACGACGAGCGGAAGCATGAGGACAGTTGGGAGGGTGGCGCAGGCCCGGGCGGAGTCTTGTCCTGTTGTGCGAAGGGTCACGATGAGTCGGAACCGCCTCCGTGGTCCTTAACAACCGCAAACAACTAAATACCAGTATCTGCTTCAACCGACTTATCTCAGTCTCGGACACAACTGTTACAGACAGAAAGTCGTGGGGATAAGGAACGTATTGAGAACAAAGGAAAGAAATGCTGGCGTGACCCACACCTGTAGCGTTTCTCTGCACTAGGATGAGTGCAGATGTAGTCATGCGATTTCCCAGAGAGAGATGTCCATGCGCTTCTGGTTCCGGTTCTGTTTGGTAGCACGATGTTAAACGATTATATTCTAGGGGCCTGGAGGCACAGTGGTTGTAGGTTGGACTGCGGACTTTTTGCGATGAGCACTTCCAAAGGACCAGCCGCTGCTCGGGAGAAAGACGCAGCCTTCTCTCCCATCAAGAGTTCAGTCTCAGAACTTGGAGGCGGTTCCAGCTTGCCCTATAGGGTTGCCACGAGTCAGAATTAAGAGGATTGCAGTGAGTTTTTCATTTGTTTGTTTGAATTCATGACAAAGAAATGGGTTGGGGCGAGAGGACATCAGTAATTTTTCAACCAACCCATCATAAAGTCATATTGTCATGCTTTTTTTCATTTACCATGAAATCTTGCCTTCTTTAAAATTTTCTTTTCCCTTCCCTGTGTATTGTCTTCCTGCTTGTCTACTTTATTAAAACAGCTCTCATTTTTTTGTTTAGTTGTGTTGTTTTCAGTTATTTATTCACCATTTTGTTCCTTCTATTGTCCTACACAGTCATCCTCTCAGCCTCACCCTATGCCAATAGCTAAATGGTCTCTGTTCTAAAGGAACCACCCTGTTCCTGCCTGTAGATGCTCAAGTTCTGCTGCTCCATTCATGACCGTGGTAAGAGTAAGACCAGATCCTGTTGAGGAGAGGCGCTCAGACGTCAAAACCACGAGGAGTGCTTATTTTAACACACTATCTCGTGGAAACTTTGGCCTTGTCCTTCAACTGTCCGATCCAGAAACCCAACGTGGGGCCTGAGAACCAATACTTCCAACAACTTCCCAGTGATGCTGATTCGAATGCTGATGATGCTGATGCTACTGGGCTCAGTCTCAGGATGTTCATCCTTTCAGAATCACTGCATTCAAGTAAACCAAAACCAAACCCACTGCCGTCAAGTCCTTAAACTAAGAACTGGGTAAAACTAGTTAAGTTTATCTAAGGAGACTATGCTTTTGTCTGTGAGGTCCGTGACTAAGCCACCTGCCTGGGGATGCTTTCTCTCTTTTATTGGGAGCGTGATCTGTATGGGGAAGTGGTGGATCTAGGGTAAACTTCTCACCTTCCATGCAGGAAACCCAGGTTTGATCCTCAGCCAGTGCACCTCAATCACAGCTATCACCCATCTGTCAGTAGAAGCTTCAGTGTTGTTATGATGCTGAGCAAGTTTCAGTGGAGCTTTTGGACTATGAGAGGCTAGACGGAGAAGCCTGCCAGTCTACGTCTGAAAAATCAGCCAGGAAAAATCCTAGCTGGATCCCAGTGATGCCATCCCATTGTGCCTGGGGTCACCAGGATTTGGGAGCTGACTCAACAGAAAGATATGAGGATGCGGAGTGGAAATATATTTGCACATTGGATGATGCAGAAAGAGAAAGAATTCCATTTTGCTGACCCCACAGATGGCTTAAATGCCATGTACCCCACCATGACAGCAACTAACATTTCCTCAACGCACTTTCAGCTCTGAAGTGGCTCACAGTACTTTATCCATAGGAAGGGGCTTTGTGCAGAAATGCAATTAAAAATTAATGAAATTATTCCATATGATTTTTGAAGCTCTCAAATATATTATGGATTTTACTTCTGAAAACATCGCTGCCGATATGACAGCAAACTGAAAAATATATTGCTACTAGGGTTGAGTTCATACATGCAAAGGTTTACTCCAAACAAAATGTGATAAGCCATGTCTCTGTGATCAGAGAATGGCTGCGTCCAGATCTCTCTTCCAAAAAATGAATATCTTTTGATGCATGGAAAAAATATTTTGAGGTCAGGACTAATAATAAAAAATTTGAAACTTTGTAACAAGTTTACAAGACTGCTGTGCCACATAAAATAACAGTTTTTACATGGACCACACATCTTAAGGCAGGGTGGGAAGACCTCACAGATGAGCTGCGAGAGGGAAGACGGTGAACCTCGGCAGATGATGAGACTGGCCGGCTTTACCTGGGCGAAGAAAACTACAGAGTTAACACTGATGTGACAGTGACTGAAGCTCGGATCTCGCTCGAATTGGAATTTTCAGTTTTGAGTGAACATCTCAAATGGCGCCAAACATTCTGTGGCGATCAACTTGCCCAAAGGTTTGCTTTTTTTTAATCAGATCAAAGCGAATGAGAATGATTTTACAGAATAAATTGGCAACAAGTCTTGGATTTACGTATGATCCAGGGAACAAAGTCCAATCAAGACAGTGGCTTTCCACTGATTTACTGAATCAGTTAAACTGAAGGCTCAGAAGGGTATGGCACCTCTGTTGGGGAATTCATCTTGATAGAGTTCCTCAAAGGACGCAGGACAATCATGGGCAGTTACTAGGAAGAATGGTTGAGAAATCTGAAGCTTGCACTGGTGAAGAAAAGTCCAGGAAAGTTGCACCTACAGGGTTTTAGGGTTTTTTTTTTGCTCATCACAATAATGTAACTGTGCGTTCTTCCAGGGATTTGGATTTTAATTTGGAAAACTTACCACATCCACTCTACTGCCCTGATCTTGCCCAGACAGCTTCCTGTCCCCAAAATTCAAAGAATGTTTTCCAGGAACAGGACTGAGTCCCTTGAAGATGGCCAAACTCCCATTGGTTTGAGGTCCATCAAAGAGAGCAGAAAGAATTCTTTGTGCGGAAGCCTCGCGAGATGGAAACACCGTCTTCGGCGTAGACGGGCCCAGAGTCGTGGGCTATGTCAAGACACAGTAGCTTCATATTCTGAAGTGTGTGCTTCATAAAGGTGTCCGTGATCTTGTAGCACTATTTTTTTACTTGCCCTCTTAAATGATTAGATTCGAGAGGCCCGAAAGCCCTCATTCCATGAGCAAATATGCCCTGACTTTCCATTTGACCCCGATTAGGAAGCTTCAAGCTGAGTGGATGCAAAGATAAGCACACACTTTGTCGAGAAAGGAACCCGGAGGCTTGTTTTGCTTTATGCCCTAGCGTGTTTTTCAGCCTGATCCTGCACACGCAGCACACATACATGGGGCCATCGCCAAGAACCGACTTCCAGGTGATGATTAGCTCACCAGGCCTTTTGCTTCCTTAAAAATGTTGAACTATTGAATTCTATGATATGTAAATTATGTGCCAATAAAACTGTTAGGAAAAAAAGTTCCCTTGGCACAGGAAATAAAATGCAGAGCGAACATAGCACTATCTTTATGTTGCACCCATCTGGTACCACCTTTGGAGCGACAGTATTAAAGGATTTGCAAATTGCTGTTTTCTTTGGAAGATTGCTCAAATTTAAAAAGCAGAAAGTCTAGTTTGGAAGAGTTCCCCCTCAGGATTCGATTCCAGTTTTGCTAGGTTTTTCCTGTCAACACTTACTTGACTGTTCCGTTTGTTAGAGTTGCCAAATACTCTCCATAAAAGGCCAGACCACCAGTGAGAAGGGTGGAGAAGCTTTCTGCCTGTCCAGAAAGATGGCTCTTCTCCGTTATTCAGCTTCGTGCCGTAGCCTTGTGTGCAGACAGATAGATTAGCCTGTCAAGGTAATCCTATTACGCAAGGCGCCCACACGTTTCTACGTGTTTTTAAAAGGGGTCATCAAATTCCTTTGGATAGTGTATGTTCCCAACAATGAAATATTAACAAAGAGAAGCAGTAAAACTTGGAAGTATATTTAGTATTAAAGGAGAAGAAATATAAAGCAAGTTTGAAATATGCTAACACAGGAAACCACCAATATGGAATATTAAAAACAGCTAGTACCCCATCAACAAAGCCTCCCTTTCAGTGTTGTATATGGGCGCGTGTTTTCTTTAGGGGTGCATCCAGCTGAGGTGCATGTTAGGCCTCGGTTGTGTTACCTGAACCCAGCTGGGTTGGACGAAGGGGTGAGAAACGGCAGTTTCCTGTCAAAACTATAAGGAAAACTGACCCTGGAGTTTGGGGTTTGGGGGGTTTCTTTCAGCACCTTACAAAACTGCTCCTCCTTTTGAAAAGTGGAAATTTGCAGTGCTTTTGTAAAAATACAGGTAGGGTTCTTGGGAGGGACCTTCCTCTGTATGTAAAATGTTGTATTATTTGAGATAAATAGAAGTTTGTAACACTGTACTCTGGAATAGGGCTGAGAGTTGAAAGAAAGAAAAAAGAGCAGAGGAGCTCCCTAGAGGTGCCGGGTGGTTTTTAATGCCCCCTTTTGTGTCTCCAAATTACAGTTAATTACTGTCTTCCCAAACTGATGGGGAAAATCCCCACTTAATTTTATCATCTGTTATTTGGAGGGTTCAGGTACAGATTTGTTTAATGTCGACCATGGTCCCACATGAAACAGCTGGAAACTCCCCCATACCTGTTGTGTTTACAAAGCATTAACGGTGGAGAAATGTTTACTGCTTCCTGTTTTTCCCTTGCACTCAGAACTAGCTGCCTTTACAATGATCCAGAAATGTCTTCTATGGAGAAGGAGTAAGAATCCACCATCAGTAGCGCTATTTTGTAGAGTATGGTGTTGTATGGCTGGGCTGTGAAAGGGGGAAAACAACCATTGGGGACTGGGTAAACACCATCTAAGATGCTCAGCTTTACACTTTCCATTCCTGAAATTAGCCGCTCAAAGTCTTCCTGACTTTGTGGCTTTCTACTCATGTCTCCAAACCACAGATCCGGTGGAAAATATTACAGTCCGAGGGTAAGAATACTTGGGCTAGAGGACTGTAACTTTGCTTCTGAGTTACAGGGTGCAGTGGATTGCACTTTGGGCCAGTAGCCACAAGGTTAACACTTTGAAACCGCTGTCCACTCCATGGAAGAAAGATGAGGCTTTCTACTCCTGTAAAGGGTATGGTCTCAGACACCCACAGTGGGCCGGGTAGAACTGCCTCTGTGACTTTGCAAGACCGTAACTCTTTATGGGAGTAGAAACCGCCATCTTTCCCCCAAGGTGTGGCTGTTGAACTTGAGTAGCTGACTTTGAGATGAACTGTCCAACTCATCACTCACTCTGCCACCAGGGCTCCTTCCACTAAAGATAGCACGACCACTCACCTCTGGGAACAGAGTTCAGTCCTCAGCAAGTCTGTCAAAGGAGATATTCTGGTTACCAGAGGAATTTCATTATCTAGTCAGACACTCTCATTTGGAATTGAGGTATCCCTGGGTGTTTCAAATGCTGAAGATGGTTGGCTGCTAAGCAAAAGATCAGAGGTTCAAATCCATCCGAGGCACCGCAGAAGAACGACCTGGAAAGTGAGCCACTGAGAACCTTTGGAGGGCAGTTCCCATTGCTGTGAGTCCGAATCCATTTGCTGGTAGCAGAGTTACGGAGCATTTCTCGGTGGTGAGGGATGCAGAGGAAGGCACACATAGAGTTTAAATGCATCCACTATCATCACACTTGTGATCGCAAGGCCTCGAGAGCAGTGCAGGTGGAAAATGAGAGTCCACTGGACAGCTCCAGTGACGTTGAAGCATGGAAACAGGAAGATAGATTGACTCCAACTGAAATATTCTCAAAGAACCAAGACTTTAAGGGCTTCTGTTTTCCGAAAGCCCATGCTTTAGATAAACAATTGTTTCAGGCAAATTGCCACATGAAAATTCTGCAAAGCAAAAATACCTCTGCCAAAGAAACAAAATCCACTTGTGCCCATCTTTGCTGTGTAAATCATTTTCTCCCCTGGGGAAATAGCGCCCCCGTGAGAAGAATCCTGGGCCTGCAGTGAAAGAGCTGCTCAGCCTGCCATGTCCTCCCCGCAGCACCCATGGGCCTATCGCCATTGCTGCTGCTGCTGCTGCATCTTTGGGTTTACCCACTCCTTTGCCTGCCTTATCTGTGTTGTTCCTGATCTGTGAACAGGGTTGGGAGAGGGCAAAACACGGCTTCTTGTTGGGGCTCATTCCAGGGTTTCAGGCTGGGAGAGAGCGGGATGCTGCAAATTGTTGGTTTTACTTCCCACGTTAGAAGAGAACACAGTTCGACTCCCACACGCTGGGTCACCATGAGTTGAAATGGACTTGTCATCAACTGATTTTTAAAAGTAATATTGAAGAATAGAAAAGTCGCAAAATGACTTCGATCAAAGGGCGCCATCAGAGCAAAAGTAGAGAAAAGGTTGTGATAATCCTAGAGTAGCCAAACCCTCTTACTGTTGAGTTGGGTCAAACTCAGAGATCTCTCCATTTCCATAGAGCCGAGGCAGCTCTGCTCGATTCTCACCGCTTCTTCTTTACAGTGACAGACGCCAAACAAACCCTGCAGCCATTCATCAGTTCCCATAGTCTGTCTCGCCTCTTCTTACCGAAAACACACAAGCTTGTACCCGTCACTATTCTCCCTTTAAACAGTAGTACCAGACTCACTGTGAAGTGTGGGGAACAGTCATCCCAGGGCAGGGGAAGAAACGGCCTGTAGTAAGATGCAGGGACAGCTGCTCACAGGAAACAAAACCCATCTGCTCGCACAATGTCCAATTCTGAGTCAAAGTAAGCTATCACTCTAGAAAGGACGCCTTTAAAATGTGTCCTAGGGTGTCTGTTTCCTGTATTTTTAAAATTTGGATGTTCTTCATTCATTAATGTTCTAAAACTTAAAAAAAACACCAACAGCCACGTATATGATGTAAGGGGAGGTTGATTTGTTTGAAGAGGCTTAAAGGGATACCATTGTTAGTAACTTCATTGATTCCATGAGGCACTTGTTCTTTCAAAAATTAATCCTTAGCACTGATTCCGATATTAATCAGAAAAGGGCTACTTGGGGCTGTCTCTTGCTTCTTCAATAAACTGAATAAGCAGGTTTCAGTCTTTCAGTTTTTTTGTTTATCTAAAACTGAAGAGATAAATTAGACCCTGGAAGGTTTTCGAAAAGTAAAATCCACTGTCCCATCGAGTCAATTATGATTCACCGTGACCCTCTAGGACAGGGTAGAACTGCCCCCTGTGAGTTTCCAAGACTGTACCTCTTTATGGGAGTAGAAAACCTTGTTTTTCTCCCGAGGAGCTGGCTGGTGGCTTTGAACCGGTGTCCTAGTGTGTGCCAGCCCAATACATAACCACTACGCCAAAATAAACTATGGCCTAAATATTGTTTCAGGTGCTTTATCAGTGGCCAAGTTGGTGACAGCCACATGAGCATGCACCGGAATCTTCACAAGCTGCTTTCAGATACTCTTACCCACACCCTGCTGTTCAGACAATGTGTCCCCAATTTGGAATTAGAAAATATTCTCCCGGTGTGTGAGAGAGACTAAGCTGACGCCATGGTGGAGAGAAATAAACATCAATCACCAACTTAAACAATACATTTTAGAAGCAGAAACAAGATCAAGTGGGATGATTGGTTCTCCACTATATTGTCAAAAGGCTGAAGGGCCACAGTGGATAGATAGAAAAAGAATGCTTATGTAATAAAACTCTACAGAAAACAAATCAGATCTTGATGCATTAAAGTGCAAGCGAGAGAGCAGGTAGCGTTCATGATAACCTTGCCCCCTTTCCATACTCAGGATGGCCGCGGTCTGAGGGCTTCCACAGGAGGAAAGATTATTGCCAGGGCGGGGATTAGGCAGATAAATAATGTTCCCATTTCAAGAAACACCAGCCTACTAAGAATGCTAACAGTTATCCTTTCCTGATAATTCACTGTATACAAAATTAAAAACACTTTAGTCTTAATCCTAAGCAAACGGGGAGGTGGGTAGGATGCTGCGTGGTATAGATATAGCAGTAGAAGTGGTGGGATTGCCGAAGGGTCTTTCAAAGGAGAGATACTTAACAGCTACAAACTGGATGGGCAGGCAGGTCACCAATGAATTCTCAAAATTCCTATAAAAAACACTGTTCAGCGGCAGGACATTCCACAAGCAAACACAGTCTAACTTCCAAAAGCAGCCTTAGGCTCAGGCTGCCAAAGATGAGCGAAAACCCAGAAACTCCCCCACTTGCCTCTTTCAAACCCATCACATTTCTTTTTCTCCGATAACTGAAATACTTCCTTTAACTGTCCACTTTTTTCCTGCCTGATGGAGGAGCCAAGGAGTTACTGGATATAGTTCACTAAGGGCTAAGGAAGTTTTAACCTATTCCTCACAGAAGCCCAGTAAGCATCTTAGGAACACCAACTTTTCATTGGTGAGAAGAAGGCATCTCATTAAGGTAAACTGGCCCTTGAAACTCCTAGAAAATATGGAGTGTATTCAGCAGTTTGCCTAGTTCTTTAGCGCTTCTTACTATTTAGCACTGATTAGGGTTTACTTATTTCAGGTAGATAATTTACTTTCACCACTAAGAGGTCATTGGCTAAAAACGGATCCCTTGTTCTCAGTCTGTAATAATACGCCTTCCCTCTGCCTACTTGAGGAATGAGCCTTAACAAGACTCCTTTGCCTCCCTGGATCATTTTGCAATGAGATAAAGTGCTTCCAGAATCAGTTTTGTAAAAACAAACGGATTCCCTAGTTTTGTGAAAGATTTGGCAACCAGGAGAGGATTGTAGCCTACCGGATTTGTGTGTGTGTGTGCACGCGCGCGCGTGCATGTGTGTGTGTGTGTTTTGGGAATTTTGCATGTTTCATCTTTAAGTTGAGCCTTGAAGGAAAAACAGCAAACATGCCGCCCAAATCAGTATTAAATGTGTCTCATGGTCATCTCTCTCTCTTTTCCAACCGCCCCTCGATGCAGCATTGACCTGAAGCTGAAAGAAAAGCCGTAGTTGCCCGTGCCTAGACGAAGATGCTTGTCTGCATCGCGGTCCTGTGGACTCTGATCCACCTGCAAGAGACAGGGTTGCAGTGTTTTTTGTTGTCTCCCCACTCCACCCCCACTCCCCAACTTTGCACTTAAGCTGGGGCCATTCTAAACTTCGAAGGGGAAAAACAGGAAGGGACTTTGTTTACTCTTAACATGTTTTATGAAATTCTGTGTATTTTCCTATTTTGCCAATTATGTGCCTCAGAGATCTTAGTTGCACCTTAGCAAGATAGTGGGCCTTTCTTTCTCCTGTGGCGCAGATATTTCGTCTGCTGATCAGAGCTAATCCATTAATAAGCGAGAACGGATTTGTTCCCCTAGGCTTCTGGGAGATCGTTTTAGATTAAAATCTCATGTTCAAATTCAGCCCCAAAGAGTTGTCCACCCCCCCACTCGGGAATCCTAAATGTACTGAAGGTGTGAAAGCTCAGTGTCAAGGTTGTTAGGGATGACTCTTTTCTAACTTCTCAAAGGGAAGCCAGGCTGTCTCTCATTCATATCAATGTTATGTTCGTTGTTAAGTTAGCAGCGGGAGTGGTGCTCGTTGTGTGCAAGAGCTTATTTAAAGGTTATCATTTCTCCGTGAGGAAGTCCACACGAGGAAGGTAGCCTGGGGCCCCCCTCCCAGAGCCCTCCGTTTGGTGACTGTGCCCCAGTCCCGGGACCGGCTCACAGTGTTGGTCTTTCCGGCCCAGCATCTAACGGCAAGAGTATGACGCAGGCAATTCAGAAATTTACAATGCGGTGATGTTCAGGCTGCGGTGTTTCTCTCTCATAGGCATTACAAAAGTCATCTGACATAAAACAGTCCAATATGATCACAGTTTTCAAGTTAAGTATGTACCTTGTACAATCTACTTCCTTGATGACTTTCTTCTGTTAGCAGGGTTTGGCTGATAACCGCAATGTTAATCATTCAAAACCACTAGCTGTTTCTCTGGGAAAACTGACAATCTCAGAAACCCACCAGGGCAGGTCTACACTCCCCTCTGGGTCCCTGAGAGTTTGGGAAGACCCGGTGGCCGTGAGTTTGGTTTGGGTTTTAGTCTTGTAAATGCTGACTTCAGTTCAAATCTGTGGCGCTCCAACCAGGTCAGCCCATGATGCCTCCATCCAGTTTTTGTGTGGTCTGTGAGCTAGGAAAGGTTTTCACATGTTTACATGGTTGTTAAAGCCAAAATGAGACTATTTCATGACTCACAATATGTCTTCAAATGTCAATGCCCATAAATAAGGTTTTCTTGGGCCTCAGCCATGTTCGTTTTGATGAGTTTTCTCTGGCTGCTGTGCACTGCCCAGCTAGAACTGAGTGGTTGTGACAGGAACCATATGTCCCCCAGCTCAAAATAGTTACGGTGTTCTTAGAACAAGTTTGTTGACTCTTGCACTAGCACATAAGCCTCCGCCCTTCCCTCACCTGTATTTAGATACTGGTAGCTCTAACAGAGGGGACCAGGGAGAAGCGCTGTCTGTGTTGCCATCTATGTACCTGCATGGCCTTGTGAAAAGGAGCTCCTGGCCACAAAAGCGCTACTGCTCAGCATGTGTTTGCCAAAGCCAAAATGAAACCTTCTGAGTAAACCTTCTTCCAATGTTTTCCCCTCTCCCCAGGAAACATTTCTGAGTCTGCAGGGTCACCTCTGATGCTAATGAGCAAAACTCACCACAAGTGGGGCTCCAGCAGTCTCAGGGTGGCAGCTTCCCGGGAAAGAGCTGTGAGGGACACTCAGAGCTTGGGTGCAAGCAGCCCCGAAACGCTTCAGAGCAAACACCCTTGCACGGGTGACTGAGCCTCCCTGACCTAATTTGCTTCATCTCGGTCTCCCATTTACCCTCCACACATGCGGACTGGATGTACACGTCAGCTCTGGTACATAACCGCGCTCGAGCCATAGGTTTCCATTTTCTATCCTTGCTCCCTGTCTGTGTAATATCTGGTGGAAATGTGTTCTTTGAAAACATTTGGTTAGCCGAATAGGGAAACTCCAGACCCCACCCTCCGTCAGGGCTAGTCTTGACCTTGGCAAACTCAAATGATACCTCTCCCAGAATGTAATGTTCTTATAAGCTCAGTGACCCAGTACTCCAGTTTACTCACCTGGTGACAACAGTTGCCCTGGCCTAATCTCTACTGCTCTCTGAAATGCCCCATTTGAGAAGATAAATTATCTGTTCACCCTGGCCACAGGAAGCAAAGAAGAGACGGTGTTTCATTCTGTGGTGTGAGCCCCAAGATATAGGCCAGTTGACCAAGGGCTCTTGTTAAAAGTCTATCAGGCAATCTCGCCTTTCACATTTCCTGTCCAGCCTATTTATGTAGGCATTATGATCATCATACATGGACTTGACGAGTGTCTGTCTCAAACCATGATTTAGTTTGGGGCTATTCTCTGGGTTGCATAATCATTCTGCTATTTAGACATCTGCTATTTTATTATCTCTTTAAAAAGACAAATGGGTTTACTTGCATGTGCTAGAGAAAACAAATACCACATAAATTCTATCCAAGTAAATAGAATCCTGCAAAGAAAAATCCCTAAGCAGCTAGGTAGGCAGACGTACACATTGATGTCATCCAGGTATCTTGCTCTTGCGTTTTGAGCATTCCCCCTTTGGTTCTGACTTCTGGGAATTGCTCTGCCTTCCTGTGGATCTTGGCTGAAGGGAACCAAAAGGTGGTTGGGGCAAAAGGATTACTTTCCCAAAGTGGCAACTGTTTGTCAAGGAGCTCCTTGGTCGAATGGAAGAACAAAGAGCTGCAGGAAAGATACTGTTGAGGGAGGAGGGAGAAAGATTGGTGGGAGGGCAGTGGTTGCGTCTGGGAAGAACCCCGAGTTGCTGTCGAAGCCGCGCAGTGTTTGAGGAGGGCTCCTTCTGTGTTGGGAAGAAGTCTCTCTTCGCCTCCAGTATAAAATACATTTTCAGTTATGCTTGTAACTTGTCACCATGCCTCGGTTGTTTGCTCCCTTTAGAATCTCCTAGAAATGCAGACTAGTCTTTTGTAGGATTTTCTACCAGGCATCAGGTTGCACAGAATAACGTACCGATTAGACCTGGTTTGGGTAAATAAAAATTCTCCCCAAATAGTGTGGATTGATACTATAAAGACATGTAACAAAACAACATATATAGAGAGCTTCTGTATACTTAAGAAATAAATTTTAAAACATCAATCCCATAGTTCATGACTGCTTTTCTCTGCGTCCCCAGAGTCACTCT